GAAGACTGGAGAATCAGCAGCATGAAACGTGTTGGTGAGCTATTGGTACACACCTCCCCTCAATGAAGACAAATAAAGATACGGGAGACAGTAGACGGCTGTAGGCTTTGAAAGAGACAGTAGAGAAAATACGACCATCGAACATGAGGGGGAAATGGGGAGATGAAACCGAAGTGCAATATGCTCGCTGACCCGCTGGGAACAGAGGGATGCTACCTGAACACAGATGCTGGGGGAGAGAAGGGGAAGGTGCTAAGAGGTTACCAGCTATTTCCAAAAGCTGCTCAAAGCGGGCAACCAGCAGACAGCAGGAGCTCCCCCCAGCAAGAAAAAGAGAAAAGCAAAAGGCTTTTATAAAGTAAATACTATTACAGTCACCGTTAGAACAAAATTTGCAAGTTTCACACCAAAAGACAGGGAAGAATGTAGCTTCCTTTAAATGGACTTCGGTTGATCTGACTTCTGAATTAGGCAAATATTTTACATAATTCTGAGACAAAATTAAATTTCCAAAAGCAATCCCTAGGAAACAAAAGGCAAATGGAACAAAGGGCCCTGGACACATATACGAAAGATGTGGCGGCAGTTGCAGGACAGGACCCTCCCAGGTGGCTCAGGCACAGTCACCTGACCACACAGCCTGGCGGGGGGTGGGGAGGGGGACCCCCAGGGAAAGAAATAATGGTGGGACATAAGCACTTATGGGACAACTGGGGAAATATGTCGATGGGACATCGTTCCATAAAGGACTTCGTTATGACTTCAGGGAGTTCTGCAGACCGTGCAGTGTTTACATTTCAAAGGGGACATTTTGTCTCTTAAAGAGACATACTCGAAGAGTTTCAGGTGAAATAGAAAAAAAAACAAAAACAAAACCACAGGTATCAGGAGTTCAACCTTAATTATGAATACTATCCATAGCACACAACACAAATCAAGAGAACTTTCTGGCACAAGCCTTCGTCTATAATATAAGGTCTCCTTACTGCTGCTTTCTTTATGACGTCTTAAACTTTACTATAATTTAAACATGGCTTTCTTTTTTCTTTTTAATTTTTTTAATGTTTATTTTTGAGAGACAGAGCACGAGTGGGGGAGGGGCAGAGAGCGAGGGGACACAAGGATCCAAAGCTCACCGCAGGCTCTGAGCTGTCCGCACAGAGCCGGACACGGGACTCGAACCACCAACCGTGAGATCATGACCTGAGCCAAAGTTGGACACTTAACCAACTGAGCCACCCAGGCACCCCTAAACCTGACTTTCTTAAAGATCTAAACTCTCGCCCTTTGGGATCTCTAGAAGCATTCTTCTTTTAATCCCGGTCCCAGAGTTAAACTTCTTGATAAATCCCTCCCTAGTTCAGAAGTCAGTGACACAAAACTGACATGCTATTTTTTTTTATTTATTTTTTTAAATGAGAGAGAGAGAGAGAGAGAGAGAGAGAGCGCAGGGGAGGGGCAGAGATGGAGAGAGAATCTTACTGTCGAGTATGGACGTGCACCCCAGTAATGGACACGAGCATAAATACTAAGTCAGGCAAAGGAGAAAGTGGAGGTGTGTGAAAGCACGCAGGGTGAAGCACTGTTTTAGGGGGCCAGCGCTGATGCAACCAGATAGGTGTCACACACGAAACCATCTCAGCTGTCCTGCCTCCCGTCTTTGGACAGCAGTGTGGATTACTTCTAAATCGTTTCGAGAATTAAAAATGTTTTGAAATGCCTCGCTGAGTGTTTGCATGCTGAAGGGCTCAAGAGCTGTTGGCTCCCTTGCCCCCTCTACCCTTTCAGGCAGAATGCGGGTTCATGGAAGTGGGTCGGGCCAGACCACGGGCGCTTCAAGGGTGCAGATGAGGGGCACCTGCGTGGCTCAGTCGGTTGAGCGTCCGACTCTTAGTTTCAGCTCAGGTCATGATCCCAGGCTCGTGGGATCAAGCCCCACGTAGGGCTCTGCACTGAACGTGAAGCCTGCTTGGGATTCTCTCTCCCTCTGTCTCTCTGCCCACCGCCCCCTACTCACGCATGTGCTCTCTTTAAAAGGGGAAGGAAAAAAAAGTGTGGATGAGGTGCCCACTGGAGCACTCTGGGCAAAGGAGTCTGTATTTCAAAAAGATCATTCCCACAGTAGCATGGAGTATGGACCAAACACACACACACACACACAAAGGAGGCAGTTAAAATAATTCATACAAAATAGGAGAAGGGTCTGCATGTCAGCAGTAGCAACAGACACTGGGAATATGGGGTGAATTCGAGATCATTCTGAAGGTGTATTTCCAGGTCTGGATATACAAGGTTGCAGCAACCAGGAGACGGCAGGGAGCATGTTAGAAAGGAAAACACTCCAAATGAGAAACTAAGATGACGCTCGGATGACACCTGAGCAAGACGATGACTAATATGAGCCAAATATCGACTGGACATCGCCACTTGGTGAAAGGAGAGGCGAGGGAGAAAAGATCACACAAAGAACACTGCACCTTCCCATAAGAAAATGCTGCACACTTAACGTGTGCACATGTGTGTATGCAAAGAGGGGGCACTCCGATGTGTGGCCCACCTAGACACCCAACACGTCCACTGGGGCAGCTCCCGGGGCCAAGAGCAAGCAGGGCAGGGGCAGGCCTCAGAGTCTCCGGAGGTCTGATCCTGACCCTTCTTAGCCCAGCCACCCCACCAGGAGCTGATGCACAGGCTGCAGAGGCAAGTATACTCAGCACAGCACCAGTCCTGAACTGAAGAGCTCTCTTCTTTTTGCCTCTGCTGCCCCCTGCTGAACACTAGGAGATTGGTCTCACTTTCAAAAATCAGGAACACAGGGAAGGAAACCATCAACAAAATCAAAAGGCAACTGACGGAATGGGAGAAGATATTAAGTTAGTATCCAAAATCTGTAAAGAACTTATCACACTCAACACCCAAAAAACCAAATAATCCAGTGAAGAAATGGGCAGAAGACATGAACAGACACTTTTCCAAAGAAGACATGCACATGGCCAATAGGCACATGAAAAGAGGCTCAGCATCATTCATCATCAGGGAAATACAAATCAAAACCACAATGAGATACCACCTCCCACCTGTCAGAATGGCTAAAATGAACAACTCAGGAAACAACAGATGTTGGCGAGGGTGTGTAGAAAGGGGAGCCTCCCCTTTTTTTGGTAAACTATGAAGCTGTTTATTTATTTTTTCATTTTGAGATAGAGAGAGTGGAGGAGGGGCAGAGAGAGAGAGGGAGAGAGAGAATCCCAGGCAGGCTCCACACTGTCAGCACAGAGCCCAACTGGGGCTCAAACACACTGTGAGATCATGACCTGAGCCGAGATCAAGAGCCAGACACTTAACCGGCTGAGCCACCCACGTGCCCCAAAAGGGGAGCCTTTTGGCACTGTTGGTTGGAATGCAAACTGGTGCAGCCACTCTGGAAAACAGTATGGAAGTTCCTCAAAAAATTAAAAAGAGAACTACCCTACAACCCAGTAATTGCACGAGTAGGTATTTATCCAAAGGAGTGTTATCAACAATCATCAAATTATGGAAAGAGCCCAAATGTCCATCAACTGATGAATGGATAAAGAATTTAGTATATGTATACTATGGAATATTACTTGGTGGTCAAAAACAATGAAATCTTGCCATTTACAACAAAGTGGATGAAACTAGAATGTATTATCCTAAGCGAAATAAGTCAGTCAGAGAGAGACAAACACACGATTCCACTCATATGTGGATTATAAGAAACAAAACAGATGAACATATGGGAAGGGAAGGGAAGGAAAAGATAAAAACAGAGAAGGAGGCAAACCATAAGAGACTCTTAAATACAAGAGAACAAACTGAGAGGGCTGATGGATGGCCTCAATGGGTGATGGGCATTTAAGGAGAGCACCTGTTGGGATGAGCACTGGATGTTATACGTAAGCGATGAATCACTAAATTCTATATATGTTAACTAACTTGGACTGAAATTTTAAAAAGTCGGGAATAAAGAGGGAAGGTTCATCAATCTTTCAACATAGAAAAGACAGCCTCTTCACTTTGGTGAGCACAGCATAACATTTAGAGAAGCTGAATCCCTATGTTGTACACCTAAAAGTAACATAGCATTATATGTCCACTATACTAAAAAAAAAAAAAAAAAAAAAAAAAAAAAAAAAAAAAAAAAAAAAAAAAAAAAGCTCTCTTTCATACGTCTGGTCTTCCTTCATTTGACAGCATAAAGCAATTGAGGCCAGAAGGCATTACTTCACTCCACAACAATCACTCAGTCATGTGGAAATCTGACTGCTGGGTAACCATCAAGGGATCATGATTAAGTCACGAGAACTTTTCATGATCAGTTTCCATATTCAATGAAGCATACACACACCCTACTATGTTTCATTATTTTCAAATATGTAGAGTAATGTGAACTAACTAATGACTGACCGAGAAGCAATTTTTAGGGAACCTGATTCCACTGGATGTAAGAATACCTTATGATCCTTGGATTGGTTTTATTTATCATACCAACCACATTAAAGCTGGTGCCTCAAGGGCATTAAAAGTGTCCTTCTATGGAAATTAACCAGATGGATTTCTGCAGTCTTAGGTAGTTTATGAGCATGGCTCACAAAGCTTTTCCTATAGTTTAGATAAACCTAAACTTTTAAAATTCAACCCCATCCCAACAAACACAAATTCTAAATTAGGAGACTAATGAAGCTGATGTTGCCTCTCTGAAGGCCCACAGAAGAAGAAAGTTGACTAGAAACACAACGTGTTATATACGTCAGACACAGGAATTACTCGGCCTCTGTTAGCAGTGAGACCTTGGTCCAGCTGTCCGACTGCAACTTGCCTCCATATCTGTATGATGTGAACGGGCTGAGGAAGTAAACTAACAGACATGAAAGCAATCTTGCGGTGCATCGGGAGGGCCGACGTACGTTAATGAAATCTGAGTGTTTCTTAACTGGTGGCTTGGAGGCATGCTTTCTTGTAACCAGCTAATTACAAACCTGAAATTTTTCTTTTGGAATGTTCCTCCGGGCTCCTTTGGCTAAAACCAAAGCCTCTTCCACTCTACGGCTTGCTAGAAGATCCTGTATTTGCTTTTCCAGGGGTAACGGAACCAAGATGTAAACTCCTTTACTTGTGGCGACAATCACTCTTCCTGGGAAAAAAATCAACAGTGTTGGAAAGAGAAAGAACACACGCTCTTCCCAATAGGATCGTTACCGATCTGATGACTGATTTCATCACAGTTCTCTCAACACAGAATCCCTTCAGAAATTATCAATTACAGTGCTTCTCTTTTCTTCCTCACATACTGCCAATGGTCAGAAAAAGTGGGGGGCGACACTAATACCACATTTTCAAAGTACGAGACAGGCTTTTTTGCTGTTTATTCAAAAGTGTGGGTAAATGTAAAATCAGTTGAGTAGATACATAACAGAAAGCCCAAAGAAGCTGTACAGATCAATTATGGCAAATGATCAGTGAAGATTATGATATCCTTCCCCTAAAATGTTTTTTAAGACTTCTTTTCTTTCCATGATAGTTTATAGGAAACTAAAATTATACGACACAACATTCTGAACCGTACTTCATACTCACCTCCCACCCTAATACGCCCAGGTCTTGGCGTGACCTCAATCATTTCCTTGCAGCCCCGTGAGTTCACCTGACCTGTGGCCAACCCCATCACCCATCGCCCTCGTTTTATTTGGGAGACCCGGTGCAGACAGTCCACAAAGCTAGAGCTGCAAAGCAAGTTGCGCTCCAGCTCCAAAGCCTTGAGTTCCGCTCCCGTCTGGAGATGCTCTTGAAGCAAACCATCACCTGTCCGCAGCAAGCAACAGAACGATCTTCTCTTCGTGTCTGAAGGATGACTGGGTATCAGCCAACCCTTCTCTGATCCTCCGCTTTTCTCTCCCGGGAACCCACTGTTCCATTCTGGCCCCGCTGCCTGAAGGCCTCATCTTTCCTTGCCTGGATTACTGTCACATCTTCCTAAGTCTTTCCGCTCTGCTCTCTTGTCCAGATTATTTGCCTTCTATATCACGGCCGAAGTAACGTTTCTCATACTCAGAGGAGATGCTGTCCCTTCTCTGCACTGGGGTCCCCTTTCCCAAGGAGTCTCCCCTTGTTTGCGCCTACGGTGGGTTATGTCGGCAGCCTCTATGTGCCTGTGACCCCATGCCCACCTCTGCCACTCGATGTACACGGCACCGTGACATTGTTACGAAACACGCATTCCTGATGCATGTGTCAGGGCCCCCGACTGGATATGCCATGCTTAATGTGGAGGCCGAGAGTCTTAGTAAGTTTATATCCCCAGCATCCAGAACAGGAAGGGCGATGTTTGGTGAGCTAACATCCTTAAGTGGCACATGTAACATACAAATCTAGATCAGTTCCTGGTTTGAAGAAAATATCATACGAGGCATTCATAGGACGACTGGGGAAATCTGAACATGGCTCACTTTCTAAGGTGTGAAAATGGCTTTGTGGTTACTGCGCACTGAAGTATTTCGGATTAAATGGCATGATGTCTTTTACTTGTTTTTAAGTAGCTCAGCAAAATGTTTACAAGTGGTGAGTCTAGGTCAATGGTACATGGTGCCTCACTTTGTTTTTCTTTCAACTTTTCAGTATATTTAAAAATGTTCATAATAGGGGCGCCTGGGTGGCTCAGTCGGTTAAGCGGCCGACTTCAGCTCAGGTCATGATCTCGCAATCCGTGGGTTCGAGCCCCGTGTCGGGCTCTGTGCTGACAGCTCAGAGCCTGGAGCCTGTTTCGGATTCTGTGTCTCCCTCTCTCTGACCCTCCCCTGTTCATGCTCTGTCTCTCCCTGTCTCAAAAAGAAATAAAACGTTAAAAAAATTTTTTTAAAAAAATGTTCATAATAAAATTTAGGAAAAGTAAAATAAATCCCTCGCCCAGCTCACAGCTGCACATGAGGGGAGGTCCCTCCCGACTGCCCGGGTCTGCCCCAGCCTGGTGTCATGCTAGGCCTCCTCATGCGTGATGTACTCCAGTGACACTGAATTGCCTGCATGTCCTGAAGCCCAGGGCTCCCTCTCAGCAGGCACCTTTCTCTCTACCTGAAGGTTCTTTCACACCAAATCTGCTCGGCTGACTCCTACTCATCTTCAGAGGTTTGGCTCAAATACCATCTCCTCCAGGAAGCCCTCCCTGATTATTTCCAGGAAACAATTCCTCCTCTGCTCTCCCAATTGGCCTTGCTTTGTGTTTATCAAGCTCTTAAACTGCCGCAGCTATTTGTTCAAATATCCGTCTCCCTTTAACCTCGGGGCCCCTGGAGCACAGAGACTGCACCATCATCACCTGTGCGTCTTCCAAACTTACCATGAGGCCCGGCTCCGATGGACCCTTAATAACGTTTACTGTAGAAATGTCACAAGAGGGTTGATAACGAAATTCCATTATGATTTCTGTGTAAAGTGGTACCTTCAAAATCCTGGAGAATGTGGCCCTCCTTAAAGGGCAGGGTCTGCTTTTGCTGCTGGTCCAACATGCTGTGCACCGTGATGAATTCGTTATCCAGAGCTATGACATACGGGAAGCAGATGGCTGCCCCAATCACGTTCTCCGACCAGTGCACGGGGGCTCGCTGAGATATACCGGCAACCGTGGCAAACATGCCTATAAAAATAGGAAGGGTCAGTCGGGCCTCCAAATAAGTACAGCATTTTTTCTGTCCGTAGACATGTCTGGACGCAGAACGCACACCACCCCCTCCTTCGTTATGTTTCAGGAGAGGAAGGATGATGTCCTACGCTGCAGGTGTGAAAACCCCTACATGGCTTCATTTTTGTGTAGAAAACCACCTCCCCCTGAATGTCTACCTTGTATTTACTTCTAACTTAAAATGAACTTAGGGGCGCCTGGGTGGCTCAGTCGGTTGAGCGCCTGACTCTTGATTTTGGCTCAGGTCATGATCCCAGTGTGGTGGGACTGAGCCCCGTGTTGGGCTCCGTGCTGAGCGTGGAGCCTGCTTGAGATTCTCTCTCTCTCCCTCTGTCCCTCTCCCCTCGCTTAAGCTCTCTTTCTCTCTCTTTAAAATACAATTTTAAAAAATGAACTTGAAAAAAGTTTACATATACCCACACGAAGGTATATAAAGCACATGTCGTCACCTGTGGGGAAAAAGTTACCTCCAAACAATTTAAGCAGCTTCGCAAGCTCACTCTCATATCCAGTCTTCCAACTGGCTTGCATCTCTAAGTTACAGCTCTTCCTTGTCAAATGAATACTGAACACTGTCACTCAGATATTTATTGAGCTCCTACTATGTGCCAGGCACTCCACAAGGTGTCCCATAAGGAGCGGGCCCTGCTCAGAGCTGAAGGCTACTACTGGACATACATACTCTACAATGCAGGGAGAGAACCAGATTTGCACTTCGAGACAGACTGCTGTTAAGTGTTTGTAAGTTCCACGTCAAATGACTGCTTATCTGTCTTGTACATAAAGCACCAAACTAGCCATTTCTAAATGAGCTACACATATACAGTCCACAGATACTGGGTTTACCAAAATTAATACATTCACGAAGGAAAGTCAATTCATTTTAACTTGGTTTTCAAACGAGTTGACATAAAACACCTTTAAAATAGCATGCTGGTGCCTGCAAATCGTCAGCTGCTACTGCAAACGACAAATGGTTTCTACTATACAGGATGGAGAGAGGGCAGGGGAGACACAGGAAGAGATCTGGAGACAGCTTTAAGATTAAGGACAAGGGGAAATATCTCAACTATACCATATGAGCAAAATTCCTAAACCCATGAAATCGTCAACTCACCTAAATTTTCTGTAGTTACAAAGACTGAAACATACTGCAGCCAACCAAGTACAGACACAGCTCTGTTCCTCTAAATTAGGCGGTTCCTGAAAATGGGTATCACGCAGGACCCACAGGGGTGTATGCGCCCTGCTCTCAACGGACACCCGCTGAGGCCCTCCATGAAGAACGACACTGCTCTGAACACTGCTGGACCCTGCTTAACATGCTACTTATGGGCTCTGGGCAAGTGGTAGCAAGAACCGAAACTCTGACAAGAGGATAGAACACTGGGGCGCCTGGGTAGCTCAGTGGGTTGAGTGTCCAACTTTGGCTCAGGTCAGGCTCTTGGAGTTCATGGGTTCAAGCCCCATACTGGGCTCGCTGCTGTCAGTGGAGGGCCTGCTTTGGATCCTCTGTCCCCCTCTCTTTGCCCCTGCCCCACCTGTACTCTCTCTCTCAAAAAAGAAATATTAAAAAATTATTTTTTTAAAAAAGAGGATAACACACTAAGCCTACTGTGTGTGTGTGTGTGTGTGTGTGTGTGTGTGTGTGTGTGTGTGTTATGTGTCCCACGAAGGAGTTACAACGGCCTAAGGTAAACCATTCTGACCTTACATATTTCCCTTTGACCCTTCAAAGTCTCCAAAGATCATTTTGAAAAAGACTAACTCAGGGCGCCTGGGTGGCTCAGCCGGTTGAGTGTGCGACTCTTGGTTTCAGCTCAGGTCATAGTCTCACGGTTTGTGAGTTCGAGCCCCACATCAGGCTCTGCACAGACAGCGTGGAGCCTGCTTGGGATTCTCTTTCTCTATCTCTTCCACTCCCCCTCACACTCTCACTCTCTCTCTTTCTCTCTCTCTCAAAAATAAATAAAATAAACATTAAAAAAAAAAGAAAAAGACTAAACATAGAAAGAGAGGCTATAAATTAGTAATTCACAAAAGACAAAAAATGCAAATGGCTGATAAATTCATAAAGAGATTCTCATATTCATTAATAACCAGGAGCACAAATTTAAATGAAAAAAAAAACAAGCAGTCAAAAAACAACTTTTATCCATCAGATTGACCAAAGGTAACAGACTGATGACACCAGTATCGCTATAAGGAAAACACACTGTGGAGAATAATTTGGCATTATCTACCAAAACTGAATATACACTTACACTTTGTTTTATTGAAAAAAATTTTTTAATTATTTTTCTTTATTTTTGAGAGACAGAGAGAGACAGAGCTCAAGTGGGGGAGGGGCAGAGAGAGAGGGAGACACAGAATCCGAAACAGGCTCCAGGTTCTGAGCTGTCCGCACAGAGCCCGACGTGGGGCCCGAACTTGTGAACTGTGAGATCATGACCTGAGCTGAAGTCGGACACTCAACCGACTGAGCCACCCAGGCTCCCCTGAGTATACACTTACACTTTAATTGATTCTACTTTTAAATCTAGCGCCAATTAGTAAGTACCAAGATGGTCACTGCAATGTTTTTAGTAACAGCATAAAATTGAGTATATAACACATTAAAAGAATACGTGGCTCTGGCTGAGCGCATCACGCACAGAGAAGAAAGCTCGCCTATTAACTGTGGCTATGAAAAAAGGGCAAACACCAAGTAGCGGTTTCAATTCAGTGAGCTCTTACTACATGAAGCACAGAGATAGCTACCAAGTGACAGACCAGCGTTTCAAGGATTCACAAGTGGTGAAGGGGTACAGGGAAATTCGTAAAATAAAAATTACCACACAGGAGATAAAGACCAGGGCACAGAAAGGTGTAAAAAGCTTTCTGAGTGCTGACAGAGTTCAAGTGTAGACAGAGCCCAGCGATCAAACAGCAGCCTGCACCAGGAAGGTGACCGGGACAGGGGGCAGCAGTGGGGGAGGGCATGTGTCGCCAGAACAGGGTGAACCCTGTCGGAAAGTCAAGTCGGGGTTGGAATGGGACGTGCGGGCTGTAGTCAGGCTGAGCAGTAAAGCGGTAAGTAACAAAACGTGTTTGTCACACCTCACAGGTGCTTCGGAAGGCCAGCCTGGCAGGAGTGGGGACGGGGGCTGTGTGCAAGGAGTGGGACCCAGGGGAGGCCAGGCAGCTGCCCACCACCAGGATGGAGGCCTCGGTCAGCCCAGCACTAGGGCAAAACGGAGGGGGAAGTGACTTCCAGAGCTGAATCAGGGAACCTGGCATCTGACTCAGTGGGAACAAGACAGAAGGTGAGTCAAGGGCCACCATGCGGCTGTTGGCCTCGGGATTAACACGACCACATGGAGTCTAAAATGAAACAGAGATTAGGATGCGGGTAGGAGGCGATGTTTGCACTTCACGAACTCAAGGTCACAGACTTCTGGGAGAGGGGAGCCTGGGGTTCCAGCGCTTTCTCGGGCGATAGCAGCATGCTTCCTGAAGGGGAACAAATTGGTGCACTGAGCACACCCAAAGCCACAGCGGAATACAGGAGGACAGGAAAGAAACCAGAAAATGTCTCTGCAGAGCGCAACCAAGGGCTGGCTGCTCCTGAGGCTGGTGAGGCCCCTTTGATCTCAGCTCTTTCCAAAGCAGGTAAGAAGTCAGGAGTTCAGTGGAGACACGGAAAACTCCACCGAGAAAACTCAGAGCTAGAAGGCGGAACCGATCAGTAAGAGCCGTCTGCTACTGTCCCAGAGGTAGACGAACTTGGGACCGAAGGCACGGGGTTTGGCATTTCCAGTGTTTTACAGTAACAGAGAGGACATAATTACAGTCTGAACTGGCCCACCAGCTGCATCGCCCAAGTATTCAGCCAGCATTAAAAAATGCTGGAGAGAAACCCGAGGTGCAGAGCTCTGGGAAGCATGAAGAATCTGGAATGAGGACTTAGCTTTGGAGGAGGAAATTCAGTTAGCACTATCCTGACTTTTCGGTGTGTTGAGAGCCAGCCAGCTGAAAAGAACCCAAGGGGACAGGTGCTGGCACGCCACTCAGCCAGGCACTTGGCCAACATAACCCCCCGGAGGGACCAGCATACAGCGAGCCTGAGATGCTGCGAAACTTCCCGTCAAGTAACCGTGTTCTGAACAGCACACTCTCGTGGGAACGTGGACGGCAAGACGTGGTCCAGCCTCATCTTGGCATTAAATCCGGGTGACTGCATTTCCCGCTTACGGCTGGGTATCGCCCGACCTAGGAAGTATGCAGCGCAGAGGCCCTGACATGAATGTTCTCGAAATGAAAAGGGCAGAAACCAGAGGCCAAGAACAAAGGCTTCTACACACCCAAAAAGCAGAAGACATCACTAGAATAAAAGAGCAGAGCAAGAACTAGCAATTGAGGGGCCCAGGTCAAACAGCATAAGGTGCCACAAAACCACGTAGGAACAGAAGGCACTGTTATTAACACACACTAATTAATTATACACTTGCTAAGCAGGTGACAAATTCTACTGTCTCTACATTGTCAGAGTCAAGTGCAAATGTAACAAATGTGTAAATTGTACATCTTTTTAAAAAAAAGCATTATTTTCAACTTGTGCACCCTTTAAATGTCAGAGGGCCACCTTCTCTGAGCTGGGAGCGGGGAAGGGGCCACACGGAGTCAGGAGTAGCTAAACCGTCTGCATTTTCCAAGAAGGATTAGCAAAATACAGAGTTGAAAGTGACAGTGCTCAATCACAGTATGAAAATTTCAACCAAGTATTGCTGAAAATGGGAAGATGTAAGCTAACACAAAAAGGGAAGAGTGGTTTCTCAGGACACGGGGGGTGAGCACATACCGTCTTCAGGGAGAAACGACAGCAAAATGAAAATATATAGCTTTCACATGTTGAAAGGTGCATTTGCAGTCATTACACTCATTTATTTGAACTCAGTTTCTGAAGTCGCGTAACG